CATCTTGGTTGCTTCTAAGTTTTGGCAATTATTATGAATAAAGCTACTGGGAACATCTATATGCAGATTTTTGTGTGGACATAAAATTTCAGCTCCCTTAGGTAAATGCCAAGACGCAAGGTTGCTGGATTGTATGGTAAGAGTATGTAATTTTGTAAGGAACCGCACAACTGTCTTCCAGAGTTTGCTCCGGCAATGAATGAGATTTCCTGTTGCTCCACATCCCTGTTACCTGTTTACATCCTCAGGTTTAAAAGAACCACATTTCATTGTACTGTGGGCTGTAGCCGCACAGGTTTAAAAGTGTCGTGGGCGCCCTGGCCGGTTTGGCTCAGCGGTTAGAGCGTCAGCCTGCGGTCCAGAGAGACCCGGGTTCGGTTCCCGCTAAGGGCACGTGCCTTGGTTGCAGTTTGTCCCTGGCCCTGGATGGTCGTGTGGGTGGCAGCCACTCGATGTGTCCCTTTCACATCGATGTTTCTCTCTCTCTCTGTTCCTCTCTCTCCCTCCCACTCTACCTGAACAAAAAAATGGAAAAATGTCCTCGGGTGAGGAAAAAAAGAAAAAAAGTGCCGTGGAGGCCCAGCTGGTGTGGCTCAGTGGTTGAGCGTCGACCCACGCACCGAGAGGTTGCCGGTTCGATTCCCGGTCAGGGCACATGCCCATGTTGTGGGCCCGATCCCCAGTGTGGGGCGTGCAGGAGGTGGCCAAAGGATGTTTCTCTCTCTTCCTCCCTCTCCTTTCCTTTCTCTAAAATCAGTAAAGAAAAAATAAGAAATCCCTTTCTTCGCCTGCCCCCCCAAGACTTTGCCCTGGCTCTGTCCCAGGCCAAGGTTTCTAACCCCTGCGTCCGCCTCTGCTCCTGTGGGCTGCTTTGCGAGAGGGCTCGTCTCCTCCACTGTTCTCTTCAGAAGATGATGTACACGATGTGTGCAAATGGAATTCCTTAGATCGCACCAGTCAGATCTTGTGAACTTTACTGACATCTTCTTTCTACTCAGTTGTTCCCTCTCACTCTTCCCTGGTGTGTCAGGAGGTCCCTGGAAGGTCTCCCATCGGCTCACTGGCGCTAGTGTTGTTTGGTGAAAATGCTGCCTGGGCCAGGGAGACGTGTCCTGAATGGCACCCCCTCCACCCACTGTGGAGGCTCCGGAGCCGCGTGGTGTCACCTGCAGATGTGGATATAATTGTTCTTCTTTCCAGTCCTCAGCCCACGTCCCCACCAGCCAATGTGACAGCACCGATGATGCCCCTGGTTTCCAAGTGACCTTGGAAGGCAGGCCCTCTGGCTTCCATCAGTAGGCGCTAGTCCCTGGCGACAGGCACCATAGGCCACTCTGTTTTCTTCCTACCCCAGACACCTGTTTCACAGAACTGCCTCGTGAGCCTCTGCCTGAGAAGTAGCTTATGCAACAGCAGCCGAGGGTCGTGTGTGTTATTGACTAACCTGTGCATATATTGTGCCTGTTTATCTCTATGCCTAGAGTGAATGCTCTTTAGGGACAAGACACCCTGGCTCATTTTCACGTCCTGTGGCAGATCTGTCACTGTTCCCTCTGACAGCCAATTGGGCCTTGTCATTTCTGTATTCTCCCACTCACATCTGCCTGCCAGCATCTGCACCTGCGCCCTGAGACTTTCTCTGGCTCCCCAGTCCACTCTGCCCTTGTGCAGAGCGGGCCGGAACGCTGGGGGCCGTGCCTGTAAGAAGTGGTGTGTGTGTTCGTTTGCATTCGTGTTTCGGGTTTCTTTGGATAAATTCCCAGAAGTGGAATCGCTGGGTCATAAGGCAGTTCCATTTTTAATTTTCTGAGGTAACTCCATACTGCCTTCCACATTGGCTGTACCAGTCTGCATCCCCACAAAGAGTGCACGGGGATCCCCTTTTCTCCACATCCTCGCCAACACTTGCTGTTTGTTCATTTACAGACAGTAGCCATTCTGACACCCCTATGCTCATTGCAGCGTTATTTATAATAGCTAAGATCTGGAAACAGCCCGAGTGTCCATCAGTAGATGAGTGGAGAAAAAAGCTGTGGTAAATTTACACAATGGAATACTACTCCGCTGTAAAAAAGAAAGAAAGAAAGAAAGAAAGAAAGAAAGAAAGAAAGAAAGAAAGAAAGAAAGAAAGAAAGAAAGAAAAGAAGGAAGGAAGGAAGGAAGGAAGGAAGGAAGGAAGGAAGGAAGGAAGGAATCTTGCCCTTTGCAGCAGCATGGATGGACCTGGAGAGCATTATGCTAAGTGAAATAAGCCAGTCAGAGAAAGACAAGTACCATATGATTTCACTCATATGTGGTATCTAATAAACAAAATAAACTAACAAGCAAAACAGACACAGACTCATAGACAGAGAACAGACTGACAGCTGTCAGAGGGAAGGGGGTTGAGGGGCTGGGTGAAAAAGGTGATGAGATTAAGCAGACCCCCCCCCCCCAATCCAACAATTCATAGACACAGACAACAGTATGGTGGTTACAAGAAAGAAGGGGGGCATGGGAGGTAAAGAAGGGTAAAGGGGAGATAAATAGTGATGGTAGGAGACTTGACTTGGGGTGGTGAATGCACAATACAGTATACAGATGATGTATTATAGAATTGTACACCTGAAACCTCTATAATTTTATTAACCAATGTCACCCCCAATAATTTCAAGAAAAAAGAAAAGAGAGATGGTGTGCAGATCCCTCCCTCCCTGGGAGGAGTAGCCAGCTCCACGGAATTACTCTGCATTTGCCCAAGTGCTGATCCCTGCACCGATCACCCTCCTTTGGCTGCCTTCCCCTCCCGTCACACACTCCCCACTTCTCTAGCGGGTTTCCTCTCAAGCCGCCTCCCCTGGAGTCCTTACTGAGGAGCTGGGGAAGCTTAGGTACATGCCACTGCCATAGCCGAGTACTGGCTCACAGGACATGCTGCGAAGATATTTGTTGAAAACTGCATGGCTACTTCTAGAATATTCATAGTAGTCTCTAAAATAAAACAGGCTGAAGATCCTTTTCTCCATCTGTCTTGTCGCAAATTCCGGCTGCCCTGTGGACTCAGGCTGGCGTTCCGCCCAGTGGAGGGGCGCCCCGCTCCGCCCTCGTGTCCACGGCAGCTCTGTCTCCTCGGACGCAGGGGTTTCAGAGGATGACTGTGTGTGTGGCGTCTCCCTTTCCAGTGCCCGGCGCAGTGTGAATGGAAGAACACAGACTCTGCTTCCACTTCCAAAATATTAGACTCCGCATCTGTATTTTAACATTGCCAACTCCATCTTTTTGTCCCCGACTTCTGTACTAGGAATGTCCCCCGAAATGTCCCCCCAGTCTTTTGTTAGAAGGAAGGTATCTTTCTGTAAGTATAGGTTCAGACTGAGACCAAAGATTAGTCTAGAACAGTGGTTCCCAACCGAGCCTGAAAGTTAGAAAAATCCTTGGAAACTTAAAAATACCAATTCCTGCCCTGGCCAGTTTGGCTCAGCGGTTAGAGCGTCGGCCTGCGGTCCGGAGAGACCCGGGTTCGGTTCCCGCTAAGGGCACGTACCTCGGTTGCAGTTTGTCCCCGGCCCTGGTTGGTCGTGCGGGTGACAGCCACTCAATGTGTCCCTTCACGTCGATGTTTCTCTCTCTCTCTCCCTTCCTCTCTCTCCCTCCCACTCTATCTGTACAAAAAATGGAAAAATGTCCTCGGGTGAGGATAAAAAAAAACAAACAATTCCGGGTCTCTCCACAGACCAGCTTAGTGGTAGTCTCTGATCATAGGGCCTGGATGTAGGTTTTCTTAAAACCTTCTCAGGGGCGCCCTGGCTAGTTTGGCTCAGTGGTCAGAGCGTTGGCCCTCGGACCGAAGGGTCTTGGGTTCGATGCCTGGTCAAGGGTACGTTCCTGTACTTGGGCTGCAAGTTTGATCCCTGGCCCTGGTCAGCGTCTTGTGGGAGGCAACCAAACTGCAAGTCTCTCTCACATGGATGTTTCTTTCTCTCTCTCTCCCTCCCTTCCACTCTCTCTAAAAATCAGTGGAAAAATACCCTCTGGTGATGATTAATAAAAACAAACAAAAAAGCCTTTCCAGGGGGTCTTAATGTGGAGCTAAGTTGATGGTTGACACCACCAGTCTGGAGGTCTGGAGGGGGAACTTCGACTGCTTCTTTGGGCGTTGCTGCGTTAGCTCGGCGAGGGGGTGAGCCCAACAGTGTTGCCTTGGATCAAAAGGACCAATTATGCTGAGTTTCAGGGTGAACTAAAGATCCCTAGAATTCTTATAGTCCATATAAGTGTCAACCAAGTTGTTATCAGAACTGGGCGGGACTCTAGGGGCCCAGCCCAGCCCCAGCCCACCCGCCAGAAAGACCTTCCAAATCGGGCACCTGGAGTGCTGTTCCTCTCAAATTCTCCTGCATGCAGTGAATGATGGGATGTTTGGTGAGCTTCTGTGGGACGAAGGCCTCCTGCCCAGAATGTTCAGGCTGGCGGCCTCCAGTGGATGGAGGCAGACAAAGCCATCAGCTGATGGCTTGTCCCCCCTACCTGGGTCCCCTTCTGCCTTCTCAGTTCCAGTGCCCTCCAGGCCACCTATTCTCCAGCTCTGTTCTTGTTCTTTTCCCCCTTGTCCCTGCTTCTCTCCCGCTATTTTCCACGGCCCTCTTTGCTTTCCCTGCTCAGCTGTGCCTCGGAAGCATGCGGTGGCCGCCTCCTCCCACAGCTTCCTTTGCACAGTGTGGGCCCCTGCCTGGGAGCCAGTGTGGGAAGAGAAAAGGAATGGAGAGACGGGGCTTCCAGAAGCCAGTGCTCACAGCCTGGGAGTTTGAGGTCTGGGTTTCAGACCCGGATGTTGATGCAAAGGAATCCTTTGTGTTTCAGCTTCCCCCAGGCAATACATCCTGGTGCCTTTAAAGGAGCTTTTCTAGGAAAGGGAGAGTGTTGTCTGCAGGGGTCTCGGCCTGGTGGGTGCTGTTCCTGCGGGGGAGGCATGTGGGCCTACGCGGACTTGCTTCAGGCCTGTCCCTCTGCTGTCTCCGCAGAACTGCGATGTGCTGGTCCTAGCTGCTGTCTGAGAGGATGTCTGGGGTGTCCGAGCCCCTGAGCCGAGTGAAGGTGGGCACGTTATGTCGGCCGGAAGGTCCCCCAGAGCCCATGGTGGTGCCAGCAGACGTGGAAAAGGAAGATGTGCGGATCCTCAAGGTCTGCTTCTATAGCAACAGCTTCAACCCTGGGAAGAACTTCAAACTGGTTAAATGCACTGTGCAGACTGAGATCCGGGTGAGTGTGGCGGGCGGTGCCTGCTTCGTTTGTCTGTCTCTCCCTCTCCTCCGGGGCTGCTGGGTGGCCCTCCTTCAGCACAGCAGGCTCCCCTGTAGCCTCCCCTGGGCTGGGGGCACCAAAGGGGGAAGTTCTCAGCCTACAGAGCCAGGCCTCCTCTCAAGGGGTCCGCAACCCACCTCTCTAGTAGGTGGGGGACAGATCTTATAGCTTTAGTTAGAACCCCAGATCGTTTGCTTGGTCTTTGATTCAACTCATTTCAACTCATTAAATATATATGACATTTGAGTTTCTGCAAGAGATGTAAGAGCCTCCACCCTCAAAGAGTTTACACTCTGATTGAATTGGAATCAGATACACTAGTGATAGAATTGAAAATAGAACGAAAGTGGGATAAGACATGCTGGGTGCTTAGACACAGGAGCTGGTGGGAACATTCAGAGGATGATAATGAACTAGAGATGCCCTAGAACACGTGAGTGGCTGGCAGGCCCTTTCTGAGGCAATACTTCAATTGGCTTATTCTCATCTAGGCCTCGGAATCTGTTTCGCAAGATCAGAACACCTAGACACCAGGAAGCCAGTTCCACTGAACCAAACATATAAGAACTTGTCATCAGAAACAGTTACAACAATGAATGATTTAAATGCCTACATTTATTAGACAGTTACTGTGTACAGCCTGGATCAATTCCTCTACATATATTATCTCACTGAATCTTCCCAATGACTCCATGAGGTAGATAAAATAACGACATCCCCTTTTACTGCCCAGAATACTCCTTTCTGATAATGCAGAAGAAAGCCAAATTGATTCTCAAAAAGCCAAATTGATTGCTTGGTGGGATGGTAATTCGAACAAAGGAAGCAGTGGACTTTTGAGAAAACTAACCAGGTCTGAGAAAGCTGGATGAATGATCCCCAATCGTCTCATTACCAATCATCCCCTCTCCTAAAAGTCAGTATCCCCCAAACTCAGTGGGTGTCTCTTCTGGTCAGTGCTGGCAGCACAGAGCCTCTGCACGTCTGTCTGCTTGGCTGCCTTCCATCTATTACAGCACACCCTGTGCTTCTACACACCAGAGTAGAACGTAATTGATTAGGTCACTGCCTTGGCCAGTTATCACCATCGATTATGGTTTGGTTACTCCCTCTGTTTCCTGTAACTGATTTGATTAGGGCCTTATTTGCTCATCTCAGGGTTCCAGATATGTAGGTACAACTGTGTCCTTAGAGTAAGCCCTGGGCACCTTCTTCTAGGAGGCTGTTTTCATATCTTCTTAATTCTCTACTTCTTGAGTCGTCCTTTGGGTGCATCGTCTTTACAGATAACTGATGCCATCCACTGTGGGTTTTGTTGGTGTAACTTTCGTAAGTTAACCTGACTTCCAAGTTTGGAGGGCACATCCCTGCCTTTCTGCTGAAACCCAGAGAGCATCTGGATGGTCCAGACCAGGATGTGGTCTGTGGAGTTAGTGGAAAGGGACCTGAAGGATAGGCAGATTTGAAGCGGCACCTCTGGGGAGAGCAGAGGGCTTTCTGGGAGGAGGGAACAGCAAGAGCAAAGGCAGGGAGGCTGCAAACAGTGAGTCATTCCGTTAGGCTGGGGCATGGCTTATATTTAGAGAAGTGTCTGAAGTCAAGATCAGAAAGGAAAAGTTGATGGCAGATAAGGGAGGGCCTAGACTATTAGGCTGAGGAATTTGGACTTGTTCAGGCAGTAGGGAGAAACACGGTTTTCAAGCAGGGGAGAGGCTTTTCCGGCCTGTCTGATGTCTTGCTGGATGCTTAAGGAGAAAAAACCACAACGGGCCACAGAAAGGGCAATGAGACCCAAGTTTAAGGATAATGGCTAGCGCCCGAGGCATTATCTGGAGGGGTGTGAGAACAAAGGTGGAGAACAAAGGAAGATGTGCTGGCCTTCTAGGAATTTATGTCCAAGCCTTCTGGTTTTTCCTGTTTCCAATTCTGCAGGCAAAATATCACCTGTTGATTGCAAATAGCCATGACTTTCAAGCCACCTAGACCTTGAGCCAAGTATTGCCTTTTACATATTGGTTGTATGGCCTTAGACCCAACACTTAACCAACCTGGCTTCAGTCTCCTCACTGGGGATCCTGCCCATGTGCAGCCTTGTTGTAAGGATTAGAGATGATAGGTGAGAAGCACCTACATATAGTAGGAGCTCAATCATTGGAAGCTATGGATTGTGTGGTTATTAGGTTGTTACCCTGCTCAGGAATCTCCAAAGGTTTCTAATTGCCCATAGAATGAAGTTCAAATTGTCTTCTTTTATTGTTTATCTACTTCTCTGTCATATTTTCAAACTGAGAAGTAAGATGATCAGGCTTGTGTTTTGAAACAGTATATAGTATCCTGCAAGATGTTAAGAAGTGTGTCCTGGAGAAGGGGTTTTATGGTCAAAGAAGTTTGAGAAATGCTTGGTTAAACAATTCTGAATAGATTTCTTTGCAACAAGACTTACTAGAACATTCAATATGCTGATATGCATGGTGGATCACTAAGAAAGGGCCACAAAAGGGGTGTTTTCTTTAAAAATATTTTTTTTTCTTTACTGATTTTAGGGAGAGAGGAACAGAAAGTGAGAGAGATAGAAGCATCGATGAGAGAGAACATCGATTGGTTTCCTTCTACATGTCCCCCCACCCCCAGGGATTTGGCCCACAACCTGGGCAGGTGCCCTGACCAGGTATCAAACTGGTGACCTCTTGGTGCATAGGTCAACACTCAACCACTGAGCCACACTGGCTGGGCAAAAGGGGTGTTTTCTTTTAGTAAGTTGTTTCTTAATTGCCTAAGAGAACCCTCTTTTAAAACTTAGACCTAGTTCTTCAGATAATCATTTAGGGATCCCATTTTCCTAAACTCTGACAGCAATACAAAAAAAGGCGGGAGAGAGGGAAGGCTGGGGAGCGAGAGATGGGTTAGGAAGCTGTGGCCACACTGCTGGTGGGAAATGGTTAGGGACTGAACAAAGGGAGTGGCATTGGGAATAGAGACAAGTCAATAGATCTGAGTTCATCTAAGGAGGCAGAATCAACAGAATTGGATGATTAACTAGCTGTAGGGAAGGAGAGCAAGGTAGGAGACAGGATGACTCAAGCTTTTGCTTGGGCAACTGAATGGGTGTTGGTACCATTCATTTAGCTAACAACAGAGAAGGAAGGGCGTTCTGAGATTTCAGCTTTACCTGTATTGTATTTATGAAACACCCTCATGGAGGAAAGTGGACCCGAAGCTCAGGAGGGAGAAAGGACCTAGAGTTGAAGATTAAAGAGTCGTTATGCAATGGATACCATGTGAACGGATAGAATCACCCACAGAGAATGAGTAAAGCAAGAGAAGAAGAGTTCCAATTAGGAAACCTTGGGAAATCAACTCCTTAGAAGCCAGTAGAGAAAGAGGAACAAGTGAAGGAAAAAGATGAATCATCCAGAGAAAGATAAAAAGAAACAAAAGAACAGGCAGGGGAGACATAGGCAGAAGAAACTTTGAGGAGAGAGTGGTTAGCAGTGTCAGACACTCAAAAAGGTCAAATCAGATAAGGCTAAACAGGTTTATTGGCTTTGGTAACAGGTGCCACAATGACTTTTTGCTGGACAGTTGCAGTGGAGAAATGGAGGCACCAGGCCTTGTGCAGCCAGTTTGCGAGTGGAGACAATGAGTATAAGCAATATCTCAGAGTGTTATCAGCAGAAGGAAAAGTATATGTGAAGGTCCTGGAGTGGAAAACTACAGGGCAGGTTTGAGGCTAAAGAATGGCCAAGATTGACTATTTAAACCACATAAGCGATTTTGAATTTTATCCCATCTCTCGGGGGAAGTCATTGATACAGTTTAAGTATATGAATGATACGAGATTGCATTTTTAAAAGATCACCTGGCTGGTTTTGCTCAGTGGTTAGAGCATGGGCCTGTGGACCAAAGTATTACAGGTTCAATTCCTGGTCAACATCACGTACTTAGTTGCAGATTTGATCCTCAGACGGGGTCGTGCAGGAGGCAACCAATCAGTGTGTCTCTCTCATATTGATGTTTCTCTCTCTCTCTCTCTCTCTCTCTCTAACTCCTTCCCTTCCACACTATCTAAAAAGTCAATGAAAGAATATACTCGGGTGAGGATTAACAAAAATAAATACATACATACATACATACATAAATAAAATAGAAAAGTAAATAAATGAAAGATCACTTGGATTACATAGTAGAAAAGAGATTGAAAGATGGCAAGAATGGACGTGGGGAGATGTTAGGTGGCTATTGCAGTAATCCAGATGATTGTGGCTTGATTAGCATTGTAGCCATGGTGATAATAATGTTGATGATGCCCAGCTAGTGTGGCTTAGTGATTGAGCATTGACCCGTGCACTAAGAGGTTGCCAGTTCAATTCCTGGTCAGGGCACATGCCCAGGTTGTGGGCCTGATCCCCAGTGGGGGCCATGCAAGAGGTGGCCAATCAATGTTCTCTCTCATCGATGTTTCTATCTCTTTCCCCCTCTCCCTTCTTCTCTCTCTAAAATCAATCAATCAATCAATCAATCAATCAATAAATAAATAAATAATGTTGGTGGTAATGATGGTGGAGGTGATAATGATATTTCTATGCAAATGTTGATGTGATGGTGGTGGTGGGTAGTGATGATGATGATGGTGATAGTGGTGATGAGGATTGATTATGGTGTTGATGATGGTAATGCTGCTGCGCAAGTTTCAAGGTGATAGTGGTGGGGATGGCAGCTAACACTTTTGAAAGCACAGCACATGCATCCTCCAACTGACTTCTCGAAAGAATCCTATGCAGCACATACTATTATTGTCTCCACTTGGTACATAAGGAAATAAGGTCCAGAGGAGTTAAACAAATTGCTACTCAGTGGTAGAGCCTATTTTGAAACCCAGTCAGCACACCTGCAGAGCCTGCACTCTTAGCCACCGTAGTGTAGGGAGAGAAGTCGTTGTAATGGAGATAATTTAGGAG